TGATTGCATGCTACAGAATACGACAGAAAGCATCACCCCTTTTTTAAATATTACTTAATTAATTAATAACAATAGTGAGCTAAGACAAGCTACACCTTTCTGATCGAATTTGATTTAATCCTAGTGTGGAGAAGAAAACAATTGCTGGCAGGAGCGGATGAGGACAGTGTTGATAGCACTTGTTAATGAATTGTTGTTTTTATGTAAAGGTGGCATGAAAATAGAGGTGATAGATTCAGGAAGTTTTTATATTTATTTAATTTTATAATGTAAATCATTGAAAGAATCACAAACTGTATTTTAAGATTGCTTTGGCTAATAAACTATACTAAATGTTTATTTTTAATCAACCACATTGCCCTTGTAATTAATCTTGATGATGAAAATGATAACATATTTTTTAAACAACGTGAATGTATAAGTTATATTTAAAGCTTGGTCTTCCTTCCCAGGATAATAGTTTACACTGCCCAAATTTTTACTTTCAAGGATAACTCCAAATAAACAAGATAAGGCCAAAATTAATAAAAAAAAATTCATTGAATAAATAAACAACCTCTTTTGTGAAAGTAATATCTATAGTAATTGACAAAGCCCTTCCACAAGTTAATCCTTGCACAATAATATTATATAAATTGAGAATTTATGTTTTTTAAATTTGACAATACCCGATCAATATTTATTAATTAATTATATCTTATAATTAGATCTACTTATTCATTTATGCAGCAGAGATACATGAATACGAATTTATTGATTCATGTATGCAATAGTGATAGATGAATATACCAATTCTTGTATCCAATAATAATACATGAATATAATAAATATTGACTTAATGTGAAGGCCAATAGGAAACCTTACCTCCCATAATGGGTGGGACTATGGATTTATTATATAAAGGGCAGGCTAGGTCCCTCTCTTGTCATTCAAAAAACATAAAAATCTCATCTATTAGAGAGTTACAAAGAAAAGGAGAAGAAGATCCTAATACACTGAAGACCAGTAGTCAATCTAATCAATATTATTTTTATTGTTGAATCATAGATTAAAATTTTAGTATGCTTTATGTTCTCAATTCTTATTATAATAGATTTTGGATTTATGTAACCTTATTTATACATAAAATTTTATCACTATTTTCCGTAGCTTTTACACCAATCAACTCTTGCATGCCAGCAAAAAAGGTTAGAAAACAAAAGAATAAGGGAAAAAAGCGATTATTGTCCAAGTCTCATCCTTCCATGTGTCTCATCGGACCACACTCTTCTGTGGTAATCAAAATGTTTTGAGCTGTCGAAACTCCATAAAGCGCTCTTGCTTTGTGGATTGCTTTCTCTGGAACTTTCTTTTCTTTTAATTTTCCAGGGAAAATATATTAATGTGTTATAGGGACCATTTTGCACTGTACCTCATGTAGTTCTCTCTCTCTCTTGCTTTTTTATTCTGATTTATGAGAAAGAAATTGTTGAATTATAATGGATGACATTCTCAAGAGTAGTTGTAATATAATATAATATCATATAACATATATTGTTGAAAATTCTATCCCTGTTCTGTGATAGATAAAATATACAAGGCTTGAATTCACATGTAGGGTTCCAACCTTTTATTTCCCTTGTAAAAGCTCAAAGATTTCACACGATTTCCACGATAATGTAATATAAATTGTTCAACCTGCATTCCAAATTTACATATACATATATATATATATATAAACATGTCATTTAAAACACATGTTGAATTCATTAGCACTTGTGGTGCAAACCGGGCCAAGGAATGAAGGAACTACACAATAGCGTGGCAACTAAGCAAAGGTTTTAACAATTGCTCTAATTTTCTTTTCAAACCGAATCTTGTCTCCCTCTATGTTAGGTTTGGTTCACTACCAAAATATATTAAGAAAATTTGAAAGCAGATAGAAATTTGGAGAAAGCAATAACAACGCTGTTGTTTGATTGTCTAATATTAATTTGGAATGCTGTTATAAATTTTTATTTTTCGATACATGGAAAGCTCGTTAAGCTTAAGTTATACAAAAAGGGAATTAGCTCTGTCCAATTTCATAAATCCTATAATTTCTTTTTAACCCTTTTTTCACACCAAATATCCTACTTTCGTAAATTAGCTTGATTAGAAATTAAAGATCAAATTCCTAAAGTGGGGTTGAAATAATTATAAGAAAGAAATATGTTGGCATAACATTCGAAAAAGTTTTTGAACTAATAAAGAAAATTCAATTAAATTTTTATCTTTTATTATATTTAATCAAATCTTTATATTTTTATTTGGGTTAAATAAACACTTTTTACTAATATTTAATTAATTTTTATTAATTAAAATATTATTTATTATTTTATATTTATATAATATTGACACGATATTAATATTAACGTTGAAAAATATCATATAGTTATATTATCATGTCATATTAATATGTCCTGTCATCATCAATTATAATATTTTAACATATCATATCATATAAGTATCATGTGATATAAAATAACAAATGACATTTTGATTAAGTTAACCATTAATTATAAGAATTAATTTGACTCAAAATAAAAATATAACAATTTATTTGATTTAAAATAAAATTATATGTACTTAACTAAGCTTAATAAAAAATAAAAATTTATTTAAATTTTTTAAAATAATTTAAGAGCTTTTTTTAAGTATTTTGTGAAATATATTACATCCTAGGATGCGGAGATGGACGATGAAGCATGGAGAAAAATAATTGGAAATATTTGATTCTTCGTTTAGACGAATCCTAGTGATGTCTAATCTATTAGATAAAAAAGGTAAAATGACACAAAAAACCAGGACGCAGTAGACAGGGACATGTGCTGTGCCTAAGCTGCAACCCAAGTCTTTGAAATACGCATAGCTTGCCAAAGAAAGCCGGACACTCCTTCCTTCATCAACTCAACAACCTGAAGAAGATTGAAGCTTTTGTTGCTGCAGAGAAAGCAAAGTCCTCCCTCTCCTCTCCACAAAAGGAAACCCCCCCTTCCCTCCACTACCAGAGCATAGCCTTCCTTTCTTTTTCTGGAAAGCAAGATAAAACCTGAGAGCGCTTTTTCTTTGCTATAGAAGCTAGCTGAGTTTAGCCAAGCTACAAAAGGTACGATCCCTTTGTCAATTGGGTGTATATATATGTATATGTTTGACTTCATTTTGCTATGAGGTTCTTGCTGCTCTTTTTGTATTCAAAATGATCCTTCGAGCTTTATTCAGGTTCAGTCATGTGTCAATCGGGATGAAATGGATCTAAAATCTAAGAAACTGGTTTATCTTCTACAACTGTGCTTTCTTTCATTTCATTAATTTACCGGAAACTCTTCTTTTTTTTTTTTCCAGAGATTAATTTTCTATACGTTTGCTCTGATAAAGTCTTAAAAACAAAAATTAAAATGAAGACCAAAGATCCTTCCATTTGATATCAAATTAAATATGACCATTAATTTCTTTTTTTTTTTTATAATTATCAAGATTTTGTAAAAAATGAGCAGATATTACATTCAAGACAAACAAAATACCTAAACAAAATCTATTAATTATTTAAAAAATTTTAAATGAAATTTTATTCTTATATTACGTTGAATCAAATCTTTAAATTTTTATTTTAATTTAAATAAATTATTATAATGATTAACTTTTGTTAGTTAAAATGTCATTTATTATTTTATGTTATGGGATGTTAATATAAGATATTGATATATTATTATATCATAATAAATTATGACATAATCACGTTATATTTTTATTTTTTATATCAATATCATATATATTTAAGTTGATAAATAATATTTTAATTAATAATAATTAATTAATTATTAATTATAAAAAAAATTTAACTTAAAATAAAAATATATAAACTTACTGAACATAATAAAATAATAAAAATTTATTTATAATTTAATTTTTTTTTAAAATATCATACCTAAATTCAATATTTAGTTGGCCGACAAATAAAATCTAATAATTATATGATTGGGCCATAGAATTGGCCGCAAGTATAGACAGAAGGGATGCATGGTGCCAGACAGTTTAAGCTTGGTGGCATTATTCTCACTTAACTTAGAAACGGAAGGTACTATAGACAAAGACAAAAGGCTACCCATTCCTTTTGACAAAACCCCATACGCAACACCTTATTTTCTTTCGACAAAAGAACCCAACAGCACTTGATTAAAGCTAGACTGTAATTAACCAAAGAAAAAGAGAAAAATAGTATTAATTACCTCAAAGGAACCTTTTTGTTTTGATGATGCTCCAAATCTCTGGCAATCCAAGAGGGTCCATATCTATGCATTGCTGCCTAAGTAGTATTGTAAATAGGTCCACCATACAAACAAATGATGAGCATAGGGTCACGATTAATTGGAATCGAAAGAATAACTTGTCTCATGTGAAACGAAAGATGGCATTTCCCAAATCATTTCTTGTTGTATCATGCATGATCATCTAACCAAAGCATGTGGATTTCACATTGTTAATTAATTATGCGTAAATTTTTCATTTGATACATTAACCAGTAAGCCCAATAAATATTTTGAGTCCAATTATATATGTATGCAATATATTATATTGATCTAAACACAAATTTTGAGACTTAGTTTTAGAAGTTAATTAAAATACCCTATGAACAATTAAAAAAAGTTAAGATATGTTATTAATCACTAAGAAAAATTTAAAAATTGTCTTATAATTAATTATTTCTGGTTTTGTTTTTCCTTTTTTCCCCTAGCATGCATCAATATTTATTTGAGTTAATAGGTGTGATTATTTTCATGCATATGATGATAATGGCTGAAAAGCCAAAATTAGCTAGGCATGAATATTAGAGGTTTTTGTTTTTTAGCCAAATTATTAGTGCAAAGGATCATTTTGTCTACTAAACTTTTCAGGGCACAAATAGAAATTTCTAGACCAAAGTATAATGTATTGCCATGGACAAAAAAAGAAGAAGAAGGTATATATATATATATATATAGTTTATTGCATAGAAATAAAAATTGAAACATAATTACAAGGTTGATTTTCAGAAATTTTATATTTATCGTTGGCATTTGGTATATTTAAAGTTATAGTCTGATATTTTAATTTTTGCTTGTGCAAAATGTATAGAGAAAATTAATTATAATAAATAGTAAAAACTACTAAACTCTTTCTTAATTACAGTGTTATGACTCTTTTTTTCCATATATTAAATGATGATATTTCCTTTAACATGTTAAAATGTTCGGGAAAAAGTCATGTTTCCACTCCCACTATTTCTAATCTTTTTAAAATTTTATTTGGTTTATGAAATGATCATTTTAGGAGAGATCAAAATAGCCATTTTATCCGCACAAGAATAGGTAAAAAAGTTATTAGATAAAAATACTCTTAATTAATTTTAAAAATTATTATCTTATATAACACAAAATTTATTTATTTTTCATATTTTCTTTCTCTTTCTCTCTCTAAATTTCTTCCACCACCATAGAATATAGTCTAAAACATATTCTCCCTAAATATAAAAAAATTTAAACAAAACAACCACAATATAACAGACAAGATACATGAATTGCCAATAGGATGAAAATATAAAAAGTAAAGGAAAAAGAAGAAAATATGAAATGGTACGAAGACAGGTGAAAAGTGGGCACATGGAAGGAAATGGGTTGGAGTTAAAAGGATTGAAAATTGAAGGCTGACATTGACTTGTGTCGGTCGGTCATCCCCAAGGAGGAGCTGGAAACCCCTTTACCTGTTGAGTTGATTATCAGAAACAGATAGCAAAGGCCCCATTAACAACAGGGATTTGTGAGGTGGATACATCTCTTGGCAGATTCGAAACACGTAGCTAGAGCCCTCAGAATTGGCATCGACGTCTCTTGAGCCAGATTACACACCCACAAAAATTTTCAGGGTCCCAAGAAATAAAACAAAATTGAAGGGTCCCCAGTTGTCTTGTGAAGTTCAACGAAAACGAAATATATCTATATCGCTATTGGCCATTTCATGAATGAGTTTTCAAAAGCCAAAGGCGATGAAATATTTGCAATAATTTAGCCGATATAGGTAGGTAGAGAAAGTACTCGAGCTACACAAACTGCATTTAAAGTTTTTTTTTTCAAAGGGTAGTTCGTCGTTAAAGGTCTGTGGGTCCACGGCGGCCTTTGAGTTGTTGTTGTCCTACTTCCTTTTCTTATTGATTTCCTTCAGGATATGCATTTGAAAGAGTGATTACTTTTGTTATTAAGATAATAATTGTTAAGATAATTATACCAATTATCTAATTAGAATTATCATATAATACTATTATTTAGTTATCATATAATACAAACATGATATGCCTTTGTCATTGATCGTCTATCCTTGTGATCGGATATGGATTCGCCTTTAATTAATGAACAAATTAGTCAGGGAAAAGGTTGAACCACATGATCAAGTAGATAATTTGTGTGTGTATTTTTTATGTCTTTAATTAATTAATTAATTAAATCGAGACCACTATCATCTTTGTGGATCAGTACCAAGCCAAAATTTAGGCTTGCAATTGTGCATGGATTGATTGTGCTTGAACACGATACCTTCTTTATACTTTTAAGTAGATAAATTTTGTGTGTATTTTTTTCATTTAAATACAATTATCCAAGTACATTTTGAATATTTCTTATTAGGAGCAAATAAAATTGGAAAGTAATTTCTACATAGATTTTAAATAAATTATACTGCTTCAGAGAGAAAGATTAAATATTTTATGTATGCATTATATGAATATAAATGTGTTGGGACATAGGGGAACATGGCATGCTTTGTCATCGAGTGATCGGATATAGATTGGTCTTTAATTGATTAGCACATTGGTTAAGGAAAAGCATGAGCCACGTGATGATGTGTAGTCAAAAAAAAAAAAAATGCAATAATATTTGACGGTGCAACCTGCCCTACTTTTCTACCCAAATTAATTTAATGATATAAATAACAACAACCAACCATATCTCTCGCACAATTCATAAAAAAGAAAAATAAAGGAAAAAGAAGCAAAACACTGGAATATATTGTTGATTTTGTTTTGGGCTGAACCATTAAAATTAAAATTAGGAAAATAAAACCTTGCATTAAGGCTAAATATTTCATTGAAATTTTCTTTATTGATAAAATAATAAGATTGGGTTTCCTTTGAAATTTTTATATCCATGATACTTTGACCCTTTTTACTATAAAAGAAGGTGATTGACTTGGTTTTCATTGAGTGAAATACAAGGAGATGATGACAAAATTCACATATATCTTATATAGATAGATCATAGATGGGATTCCCCCGGCATGCCGTCTGAAGTATTACTAATGAAAGGTCAGGGGTTTCAGGTCCCAACTATACGAACGAAATGATTTGAATAAATAATTGCTAACAACAAATACACGGCCAAAGATTGTGCCATTTGGAACAGGTCTCCTGCCATGGAGACCACTGACACTTGGTCCAACTCCTACTACCCTCCCATTTTTGGCCTGGGGACCGCCTCTCATCATTCGTCCCTTGTCAAAATAAAATTTTTATTTTATTCAATAATAGTTTTGGGTTGTTAGTTATTTTTGAATTTACTTAAACAATGTTATAATTTATATTTAGAGGTATTATTTTATAATTTGGTAAAATGTTTTAATTCGTTGTTTTAAAATTGACTCAACCGATCAAAGTTGTTGGGTTTTCAATTGATTCGGTTGAGTATATTAATTCAACTAAATTTGACTTTTTTCATAAAATAAATTCCATTTTTTTTTATTTTAAGAATTTTAACACTGAACCAATCCTTTGCACGCCACTATCCTTAAGCATAAGGAAAACTTTTTTGTCTCCTTTTACACTAAACGGAGCTTTAATTCCATGTATTAATTCACCCTGAAATTTTGCAAAATTCAATGAACCTAGCTAAGGTAACCATCACTTGAGTCTCATGACTTATATAAAGAGTGAAATTTGGCTTACGCCGCAACAACTCAACAATGCCATAAAGAAAGAGAAAGAAGACGAAGAATGAGAAATTATAGGAGATTAATTCAGTAATTATCGTCATTCAATATGTTAATGTTCTTGTGTTACTGAATAATGGGTAGCCACTAATTCCTTGATTAACTGCAAATCAAGGTCTGATTTAATTTAAGAGTCACAATCAAGCTCATGTACAAAATATAAGTTCAACGCCGCCCAGCCCACTACCGTTATTATTCCATTCCAGCCGAAGGTAGTTGCTGCTGACCTTCGTTTCCTGCAACTGCTTTCATCTTTCCTTCCCTCCCTCCCAAAACTATAGGCTTCCATTTTGTTCTCTTTCTTTCGTCTTCATTGCTCTCTCTCCATTTCTTTACATTTTTGTATGCACAGCCATGAAGCAGGGCTCCAAGCACCAGCCAGAGGTACTTTCTCTTTCTCTGAGGCTCCTTCTCTTCTTCTTTCTTTCTTTCTTTTAGTTGTTTTTGTTTTCTGGGTTTTGGGTTTTATTTTATGGGGTAACTAAGAGAGAACTTGCAGAGAAGTTGGGCTGAAATCTGCTGTTTTGGTTGCTCCTGCCTGCAGCTCTTTTGGCCTCGAGTTGTCATGCGGAAATTGCTTAACATCACTGCCCAAGACTCCGATTACAGCGCCGATACCGATGATGAAGACGACATTGGTTCTAACTCTGGAACCGAAGGTGACTCAACCATTTTCCTTCAAACCTCATAAATCAAATTTTAGATTTTTGCTTTTCAGTTCTTTTAGGAGATTTGAGGTTGTTGGTGGTTCTTGTGTGTTCTGGAGCTGTTTTTAGGGATTCATTTTCGGTTTCGAATATAACCTTTTTGGGTTTGAGTCTAAATGTCAAGTGGGGTTTTGCAGAAATTTATGAATCGTGCAGAGAATCAAGGTTTAGAGGGAACAGAGATGAGGAACCTCAGCCTGATCTAAATGGTAATGATTTTAAGCCCCTTATTAACGTTGAGGTTTTAATTTTTCTATATCATTTGTATGATCAACTTAGTTGTCTTCTATTTTCTTGATCCCTTCAGTGGCATCATTTTTCTATTTAGTTGTAAAGTTTGGAAATTGAAGGTGTTGTAGTAAGAACTTCAAATACATATGGATCATCTAGTGGAAAAAATTTAGGTTATTGATGCTTGCGTTGGGGGATTGATGGACTTAAAGTTCAGTTTTACGATTAGGTGATGTGTAAGCACCCAAATGGAAATCATTGTGATTTTGCAATTGAGATTTCTTTTCAACCTAAGATAATTGATGATTTAGTAGAACATTTATTTAATATAATTAGTTCCTTCAGCTGATAGCTGGTAATGCATCTCCTGAAACATGGTTGTTAAAGGTGGCTAGATTAAGTCATTGGAGTTAGGTGTGAAGGAAATTTTAGTTTTTTTTTTCTTAATTTTTTATTTGGCTAGTGGAGGAATTGATCAAAATGAAAGGGTTTTCTATTGATGGTTTTCTTTGATTGGGTATAGCTCTTTTCTTGCCTTTCTTTTAATTGAATGTTATCTATGTGGATGAACACTTCTAATAACAATTAAAAGGCAACTGAGGGCCACATCAAAATGGGGTTATTCTATAGCATCTGACTTAAGCCAGCTTTAAAAGAGATTTAACTTTTTTATTTTTTACACCTCTAATATTTGGAACCAAATTACCTCCCAAATGCTGTGAAACTAATTAGTCAAGTACTAGTACTTATTGGTGCAATATTCAGGAGGGAACTTTTTCTCTCTCTTATTAAGTTTTAATGAGATATGAATATCCCTGCAACCAGAGACATGGGGCTTTGGAATTCTAAATGTAATCTTTTGTGGCTTGTGTGAATATCCAATTTAGGGAGTAGGTGAATTGCTCTTTTAATTTCTTTACTCAGTGCAAGGTTAAAATTTTTTCCCCTCTTTTTAGGCTTAGATGGTCTTCCAAGGTTAAGGAGACGAAAGTCAGAGACTCTTAGGGCGCAATACATAAACACAAAGGAAATAAGGTGCAGTGCCTGTCCCTTTTTGCTGCTTCTACTAACAAATCTTAAGCTAGTTGCACGATTTTGGAGACTTGAAAGAGTTTGGTTGTTCTTGAGTTTGTTACTGAAACCATTTTTTGTCTTTTTCAAATTAATAGAGTATGTGTTGGCACCTGGAATGTTGGTGGAAAGGTTCCTCCTGATGACCTAGATATTGATGATTGGATAGATATCAATGAGCCTGCTGACATATATGTGCTTGGGTAAGTATTTTCCTGATATGCATTTTGAACTTTCTCTATTTTTGTGTTTTTACATTTAAGCTGATTTTCTTTCCCTATCGTTCTTTAATCACAGGCAATTGTTTACACTAAAAATTTGTTGAGATGCCTTTGATCTTGTTTTTATCTGCTTGGCCTTAAAGCACTCACATTTGTACATGTCAGTTCAGAATTTCATGCACCTTCTTTAGCTTATATTTTTTGCTATTCATGTTCATCTTAAAATATGATAATTGCTTTTTGTTTACAGTCTGCAGGAGATAGTACCATTAAATGCTGGGAATATTTTTGGTGCTGAAGATAGCCGCCCAGTTCCAAAGTGGGAAAACATCATTCGTGAAACACTCAATAGAATACGACCTGCAACTACCAAAGTAAAATGCTATAGTGATCCCACATCTCCATCAAAGTTTGAGCCATTTGATGATGTCCCCAATTTAGAAGAGGAGATGATTCTTGAAAGTGATAGTGATATTGGTGAAGAAATTCATCCATTAGATGAAGAACCCAATAGTTTTGATGAAGTCAATAATTCAGCAGGAAATAAAAGTGTGTTCACCAATTCTGGGGTTTCAGACTGTGGTGGTGGTGCTAAACTTGATGTGCCAGTAGAACAGGATTTACAGAGGCAAGTTTCTTCTCCAAAGAGGTTAGATAGATTGAATTGCTTGCGGATGGAGGATTGTGCTGAAAATGTAGAAAGCCCAGTCAGTCAACAAAATAGAAAATTTACCAGAATGCTTAGTGGGATTGAACAAAATGGAAAATTAACCAGAATGCTTAGTGGGACTGAAAGGATTGGTTTGAGCTGGCCAGAGCCTCCACTAAACTTGCTATCTCAGCATGTTTTGGAGAGACCAAGTTCTTTCAAATCGATCAAGTCTTTTAGAGCAAGCAAGTCTTTTCAAACATATAGTTCCTTCAAGTCCATGAACAACATGGCATCAGGGATAGCTTTGCTTGCAGAACTTGACCTTGAATCCCTCCTGAAGCGGAAAAAAAGATCATCATATGTAAGAATAGTTAGTAAGCAGATGGTAGGAATTTTCCTCACTATATGGGTTCGTAGGAGTTTGCGCAGGCATATTCAGAATTTGAAGGTATCTACTGTTGGTGTTGGTGTTATGGGCTACATTGGTAACAAGGTCTGTTCCTTCTACTAATATTAGTTTCTCGAGTTTTTTCCTTAAATTGAATGTCTTATTTTTAATCATGTAAGCAATACCTGGAATCATATAGTTTGCATATCATAGTGCTGTTATTCATGCAGGTTTTTGGTTGGACACTTATCTTTAGGGCTCTTTGTAGGTATCCGTGGCGGTCTTACATTAAACTTTAAGACTTTTAGAATCCAACGATTATCACTTGGACAGACTCAAATGATCAATTCTGTACCTATTTTATGACAATTCACTACATTTTTGCCTCAAATATTGTCCCTGCCCTCGTTGCCATCCAGTCAGATGCCTTGAAAGTCAACTACAATTATGAACCTTAACTTGTGAAGACTGATTGTAATTTCTCGGTGCTGATAATTGCTGTAGGTAAGCAGTGGAGAACATCTAGAAAATGTGGTTTTGTGCCATATGTTGTGGATGTTAAATATAGCGCTGTCTCTAGTGTTAATTTTGTAACTTTTTGTCGTCGTAACTTAGTGTAGGATTTGTGATGACCCTTGGCCATTCATGGAGAAAATGCTTAGATTCCAATTTTGACTTGGACAAGAATGCTGTGCATTCTTTTCAGAAGTTTTTAAATGATCTAATGAGCACTAATAATAGGAGGATCAGCAATTTAATAGATTTTCTTAAGGCAGATCAGATATCGTTTATTGATAATGTAGAGAGTTTTTTCAGTGAGGGATGAAGTAGTGCTGCAACTGTGTATGAGGGAACGAATTAAAGAGGTTGAGAGGAGGAGCAGACAGTCCTTGGGGTACCTGAGTATTTTTGGTGGTTGATGGAAGAGAAGGGAGTGGCAGAACTATGAGCAGGAGTGTTGAAAGTAGCATTGCTGAAGATAAGGCACATTAGAAGTATGTACACTTGAAAATAGGTGATTGAGATATGGAACTTGAGGGAGTGTGGAAGGTAGTAACACTAAAGGTGATGATGGTGGAATAAGGCTAGAACTAGTGTGAGAACCTCTAGCTGGTAAAGGTGTGATTCCCCTCCAAACGATGTTAAATAGACCATATATAGTAGGCTGAAGGGGGTGTATTTAACGTAGCCAATGAGGTGATGGTGAGTGATTTTTAGTGAAAAGGAACGAAGTATAAGATAGGATCACTGGTTGTTACATCAAGCCTTTTCACAAATGATGTAGGTAATACCATGTGTCAACAAATGACTCATGGTAGGTACTTTGAAACTCCAAAGAGGTCAATTGGAGAAACTATTAACCAGTCTCATATTGAAGTCCACCCAACCAATGCTCTATGACATCCTAAAGATCTGAGAACAATGCAAGGTTCCTGCCAATAATCCCAGGCTTACTCCCATCAAATAGTTAGTATCTAATGGACCCAGTGATATGTGTGGTCTGTGGTGTATTACCTGTAAGAATTAACTAAAGACAAGTTCAAGAGCGAGATGGTATAATAAAAATAAGCCCTAACCATGCATCTACAAAAATCATGTTTACTTTTTGCTTCCCATGTCTTGTAACAGGAATTCTGCATATGGGTGGTAATCTTTGAAGCAATTTATTAGAATCAGTGCCACTACATATTTTATTAAATTTTCACCTGCTGATCATACTTTTATTCAATTCTGCTGTCTTTATCTAATATTATAGCCATTCATTGTTCTTACAGGGATCTATATCAGCCAGCATGTCCATATATCAAACGCATTTTTGTTTTGTATGCACTCACCTGACATCAGGTGAAAAAGATGGAGATGAACTTAAAAGAAATGCTGACGTGCATGAAATACTTAGAAGAACTCATTTTCATTCCCTTTCTGCTTTTGGACTTCCCAAAAGTATTCATGATCATGAGTGAGTATATGTTATATCTACTTGCAGTGTGAATTAGTGGCTGTTTACTCATCTATCATTCTAGTTGTTGAAATTGTTACGTTCTGATTATTCGTAATATATTATGAAAAGTAAGTTCCTCCAAGTTTTATGGAACATAGGAACCTTGAAAGCAAAAGAAATAAACTCTCTTGTTTGATTAGTTGCCCCCTGACCATGCAAGTTGGCATCTAAATAAACTAAGATTCTACTTGCTTTCTGCTTTTGGAGCCAAAGATCAAAATGTGCATTTGATGAAAAAGCAAACATTTATGCATCTTTTTGGATAATAAATTGCTTGATTTTACTTTTATACATTAAGCAAATATGTTAAAATAGATGTATTTTAGTCATTTCAGTCAATTGTGATCTTGCTTTATACCATTTTCTTTTGCTTTATTGCAACTTTTGAGGAAGCAAAAAGCAAGTAGTAAAAGTAACAATCAAAAGGAATCTAAAGGTTTGCACATGCATGAGATAATTGTTCCAGAAGCACACTTAAGCAGAAATAGACAGATAGATTAGTAATTGCTGTAAATAGAGCAATTTTGTACCATTTCTACTGTAAACCTCATTCATGTAGATGAGCATTAGTTTACCACAATAAATTATGTTGAGACCAATTTATGACATAGTCTAATAAATAGTGTGTAAATAAAGCGTAACACAAATTTTGTACCATTGCTGCTGTAAACCTCATTCATGTAAACGGGGTTAGTTTACAACAACAAATTATGTTGAGAACAATTTGGGACATCATTCATAGTAGTGGGATCAATTGATCTTTTTTTTTTCCACGCAAGGAAGATCCTTATACTGTTGAATAATGTATTTGGAACCTGTAGTCTTTATGACATACTAATAGTTGAAGGAGTAATATTTTAAATAAATTATAGTGGGATCAATTGATCTTTTTTTTTTCCACACAAGGAAGATCCTTATACTGTTGAATAATGTATTTGGAACCTGTAGTCTTTATGACATACTAATAGTTGAAGGAGTAATATTTTAAATAAATTATACATGTTGGATAATTTTAAATGTAATGAGGCAGAACTGGGCCTCCTTATACGAGGAATAATTTGGATATTAGTGCCAATAAACAATGCTCCTAGCATACATTCTTAATTTAAATGTACCTACCAAGAGAAGTTACATATTTTACGCTTATTTTGTTTTTGTTTTATTGAAGATGTTATGCTTGTTCTGTAACTTAGAAAATGTCAAGCATTCTTTGAATAATGTACATTTATGTTACTCATATATCATTGGCCTGGTTATATATGTTTAACAGATATTTTTTTTTTTTGCAGAAGAATAATTTGGTTGGGTGATCTAAATTACCGTATCAATCTGTCATATGAGAAAACATGTGCTTTCATCTTCAAGAAGGAGTGGTCCAAGTTGATTGAGAGTGACCAGGTACTTTCATAGTTCTACTCAGAGTCTGGATTGGTGCTTTTCTTATCAAATATGAACTCGAAAGCTGTTGAGATGCTAGTTTAGCTATTAATATATTGTTATCTTTATCATGACAGCTTGTACGAGAGTTCCGCAAAGGTCGTACATTTGATGGATGGTCTGAGGGTGCTTTAAATTTTGCACCAACATACAAATATGAGTTAAATTCGGAGAAATACTGTGGAGAAGATCCCAAGGTTGGGAGGCGCACGCCTGCATGGTATGCTTTAAAAAGATTATAAGATCCATCCTTTGTTGTTTCCTTGTCACTTGTGAATTTTTCTAATACACCCTCATCTTTCAGGTGTGACCGCATCCTTTCTTATGGTAAAGGAATGAGACAACTAAGTTATAGGAGGACGGAGCTTCAACTTTCAGATCATCGGCCTGTTTCTGCCATATATATGGTTGACGTTGAGGAATTTTGTTCGAGGAAACTACAGCGTGCTCTTACCTATACCAATGCTGAAATTGAAAATGAGGAAGTTGCAGCAGAGGATATTCAATGTTGATGGTTGGAAAGAGTCTGTTGAGTTGGATCAGGTGAGTGGTTTGCTATGTTTATTTTGTCTTGGACTATGGTCATGAAACATACTAGTGAAATAAAGTAATGCTGGCTACATAGAGTTATTAGTTTAATGAGGAGGTAGAAGATCATTGGAATAAGGTAAGGAAAGAAGATTAAACATTGTTAGATGGAAATGGTCTAGGTTGCCTTAGAGAGAACATGTTTCTGAAAGAGGCATGGATGGGTATGCACAGGTTGAATGGTGGTTAATATTTCCATTGATAATATGAACTTCATCCAGTAGTAGGGAAAGGTTTTACTGACATGATGTGGTATACTTGGTGGTTGCAAAACATCTTGTGCAGTGCCATGTATCAAGGGTGATACAGGGAAGGTTGGATCTATTTTTCAAAAGTTCCAGATCTGTGTTTTAACGTCTGTCGCCATTGGAAAACATGTTTTCCTATATACATATCATAAATGAAACTCCATTCTGACTGGATATGGTAGATGGCAGGTCGCAACATGGATTTAGGTGATTTCTACAATGGAAAAGTCACTAAGAACAACTTTTTTCCTGATCTATACCTCAATCTCTCATACCACAAACTGGAAATGAAAACCAAAAGTATGAAATAGGTTTGAGGACTTGGGCATTTAACACGTTATGTTTGGATCATTAAATTCAATCTGTTTTGGATTTGCCATCATCATTGTATTGAAACCAGATAAGTTTTGGGTCCAGGGTCTCTTCAGCAGTTAGCATAGGCAATTAATGTGTCTTTATGGAACCTATTCTTGGAAAAATATCTAATGATTACTTGAAGTTATATACACTATGTATCCCTCTAAATAAAAGGTTTTGCCTTTTAATGCAGGATAGGTTTGCTGGGAGATCATCAAGGGAGACTAATCTATGCCTGAGCCTTAGAGGCTGGGGGTGAGAGCTCCTACAACTGTTGATATTGCCTACATCTTAGATTCATTCATTTCATTTTTTTTTGTATTCTGTTACAATATTGTATATTGCTATTATTGTGTAAATGCATTAGCTCTAGGGTTTCACGACATAGGTTATAGAACAGCGCAGATAAAAGTTATAGTTGGGTTTGCATGTATGCATACAGCATTGGCGTTTGTAAAGTTTATTGAACGTGCCCTTTTGCCACCACCTTTTGTTAGCCAATAAAAGGTTGATGTAAAGATATAGCCAATGCATGTTTTTTGTTGGTGGGGTTGCTATTTTTTGGTTTATGCCTTTTGGCAACACTACATTCTTCTGTATTATTTGTAGAATCTATATATTGCTATTTCTCTCTTTCTCTCTGTGTCTGTGTTTGTGTGTGTGTGTGGTTGGTCACATTGAATCCCGAGTTCTTTCACACAGAAAGAGCCAATGACAGATTACTTGTTACTTAATATATGTACATTCACCATTATCTATAACTGGATGGGCCTCAACTTCCTATGTTTGGTGGTCTTTCTATAGCTTGGAGGTTGAGCAAAAAATCTACTGGTGACATTAAAGAAATTAGATAGGTTTTGCATAAAAGTATAATAACCTCATGACCTGTATGCACATTTTAACGAGATATATGGTGACTTTGGCAAGCCACTAGCCATTAGACATTTCTTTATTATGTCTTCTATATCATACTGCAGTACCATGACATTAGCTAGTTAAGGACAGAGCAGATGCAGGTGGAGATGACAAAAATTTCCAGATTGATACCAGTAAAACTGCATTTAACATTTCCGATGCCCTCTGGGGTCGTCAAAAGGATCGATAAAGGATATATTATAGTACTTTTGGAAAAGTTCATTAAGAATTTCTGGAGAATTGGAAAAAAAAAAAAACAATGATCCTGGGGTATCTAGACTTTCTGTAGTTTGATTTCTCACTAATTATCGTTCATCTTTATTGTTGGCCTGCCTTGTATCAATTGTTGCCTGCTGCATATGTCACAAGGAGTAGCAAGTTAAGTGCTTAAAAGAAATCATTCTTGTCCAATTAGACAAAAACAGTTCTGCTCATATTAAAATTATGGGTTTTCAATATTATGCTCTTTCTTTTCAGCCAATATCTAAGGTGTTTATCTTGCGAAGAAAATTTTAGTGGGAGAGACGGTGGAAATTTCATATCAAGTTTTAGTTGATCGTACAGCCAAGATGCTATGGCTGTGGTTTCAACACCGGCATACAGCAGCATTCATAGCTTTAAAAGACGGCCACTTTCCAACTACAATTCAGTTTCTGGAGTCACTTCTGATAGAGTGCGGCTATACATCACTTAACCCCAGGGATATATTTATTTATTTACGATCAATGGAGTACATAATTGATGTTAACAGCATTGGAAAGATAACAATTGAAGACCCTTTAAAAGGAAATTGCTCCTTTCCTTTCCATTAGAGATATTGATTACTAGTCCAGTTGCCAGTGCCGTTGCTAGTTTAGACACCATGGTTCACTCTGGGCAGTGAACTGCCTAATTATTTGTCCAGTTCCTGGAATTTTCTATTCTCCAAATTTTCGGGAGTTATTCATGGCTTGGTTTGGTTGATTTTTCCAAGCACCAAAGAGATCTAGGATGCAATTGGTAGCTCAAGGACAAAGGACTTTGAACATAATAATATAAAAGAAAAGAAGCATGAAAACAATTGGAAGGAAGTTTCTCTAAAGCAAACATGTAGCGGACACTAAATCAAATATAATGTAGCGCATGACCTTGCCCTAAAAAACCCAGCTCTGCCAGCACTACTCAAGGTACAACAATAAAGAAATATCTTAATGCAGACATTTAACGGAGTAGTTTCGGCTTTGGGGATCTATCGGGCTGCCAACAAGTGAAGACACCAGCTACATCTTTTGCTTCGCTGAAAAGCTAAACTCGAAAACAAAAACTAGGGCTGGTATGCTTGAGCTAGAAAGAATTTTTAGAAAACTGATGAGCAAGACCATTATTCCAACAAGAGCTGATCCACCAACGGTTGCAGTAGTTTTATACAGAACATGAAAATCACTGGCTATCAGAGAAGGAGATAAGGCCAATCACTCTTCATGCCGTAACTTCCATCTTAGCTTCTTTCCTTTTGCCTTTTCTTGATTGGTTTCCACCTTGTTCTTGCTCCTCTGCCTTCTTTTGAGCTCGAATCAAGGCTCTTCTTGCACGAGGCCGCATTTCTCGTACTGTTCGGGGCGGCATCACATATGGTTCAAGGGGCCGATCACCAAAAGGGTGCTCACTATCAGCAAATATCCTCAATTTTCGATCTCTATCCTAGATTCAAAAGAAGCAATAATCTAAGAAAATCAAATTATGATGTATACAGATCCAAAATTCATAAATGAAAAATGAGAAACAAATAAAGGCGTGCTACGTGAATTGACATGCAGAAATTTGCATATGACAAACCAAAAGTCAAAACTTATTGCTCGAATGTTTTCCTATGGATCAAAGTGAAATAGAAAATGGACAGGTTAGAAGATAGGGAAAAAACCCAAGCAAGCGATACACATATAAAAAATACAAGAAATAATTTAATCATGTTTTAATACTTACATCACGCAGTTTGTTTCTTGGCAGCATGCGTAGCACTGCTTTGCGTATGACTTCTGTAGGATCCTTCGCCATCTGGTCCTTTAAACTTCTTTCCTTGAGGTTGCCAACATAGCTGAAGGAGAAGGATGATTCATCATAAGAAGGACATAGAACTTCACTAATTGAAGCGTCCAATCTCAAGAACCAAATATATAGGGGCTGACAAAGAAAGAGGGATCTTAAGGAACATTAAGAAAGCTAATTTATTCCTGTTCTATCGACAGAACTCAAAAAACATGCCTGTTTTGATCTCTGTAACACATAATATCACTCTCAAACTCATAAAAGAGGACATCATTTTGAGTTTCAATAAAGAACCAAATCTTCAAAGTACAGATAGCAATTCAACTGGTAGGAAAACACAATTGAGTCATTAACTTCCATGTAGTTTACCAATATGCAACTAACTTCAATTCATTAAAAGAAGCAGGTAAAACCTTGCACAAAAAAAAAAAAAAGTAGCAGCTGAAAATGAGAGTACTTGCCCTGTATGCCAGTAATAAAACTTATCCGTAAGTTTTCTTCCTGTAACACATACATCCTTGGCATTAATCACAATGCACATATCCCCATCATCGTGATTTGGAGCGTAAGTAGGCTTGTCCTTTCCTTGAATCACAGTAGAAATTTGAGATGCCAATCTTCCAAGGACCTGTTAAAGAAATATATATGCAAGTTATTCTTGTTGCTTTTGACCTCAGGCAGGAAAAGACGTTAAAATAAAAGATTCAACTGTACTACAAAACAAGTAAGCAAAGACTGCATTGAGAAACCAGAATCAGTAGCAAACCATAAAATCCACCACTGTAATCATAATTATCACTTCTCAAAAAGAGAGGTTCAGGAATTGAAGGTTTTGGAAAAGGATAAAGATACCTGGCCTTTGGCATCAAAGACTCTCCATCGCAGACCTTCCAGATTAATTCGCCTCAGACCAGCAAGGGCCTTCTGCATGAGTTCAAAACGACAATTGAAAAAAGATCAAGCTTTGTTATTGGGCAGCAATTATATTGCACTCCAATCGGTAAACTTATCTAGAGTAGAGCTGATCACTAACCAAACTCCGGAAATGAAAGGAGGGAAGAAAGAATATTCCCATTGTAGACAACCATTTTGTCCTGGTTTTTTTTACGTGATTAAACTAGTTCATTTGGTGCGTAACTTTGAAATTGGAAATACTCCTCAGCTTTAAAATGAAGCTACCTAACTTTAAAATCGGAAAAAGTTCCTCACTTTACAAATGAGGTTATGTAACTTTAAAATCAATCCCTATGTTAAGACCCATGATCACAAACCACTCATTCATCCAGAACTTATTAAAGAGTTAAAATAATTAACAAAAAATATGTGAGCAAACAAGTTAATTCAATAATACCACTCAAACTCACATAAAATCACAGAACATTCTTCCATGTTTTCTCTTCACAGCATATTTACTCATCCAAAAACACCCCCCATTTCTCAGTTCAAAGCATCCACCAAAAAGGAAAAGAGGATGGCCGAAAAAGTCCCTTGTTTTCGCAGTAATAGAACAGAAATTGCAGTAAAAATTTCTGTCTCGTTCACTCAACCCACATGACTCAAACATAGGCAACCAAACTAAAGTAGGAACTTCTAAAAATCTGTAGCTAAAAATAACAAAGCCCATCATTTCAAATTGCCAAAAATAAATGATAGTTCAGTCAGTCAATTGTACAAACAGTTATGTGGTTTGCAATGAGGGCTCACTCATCCTTAAAAATGTTAATCAAAATGATGGGTTATTCGATTTTTAATAAACGATAAACTAAGGTATGAAATGCGTAATTTTAACAAGATGAAGGGAAAAACTTGCCTTTAGATTTCCATTGAAAGTGGTAGCTGCTGCTTGGGTTGCCATTTCTATGTGATTTCCACTTTTCTTGTTCTTTTCTCTGGAAAAGTCAATTTAAAGGCAAGACCCCGTTTGGTAAAATTGAATCAAGTTATCTTAGAATGATCAAGAGGGAAACTTTAAGTGAAACAATAAAAAGGAAAATCGAGGGAAAAAGAAGAAAACAGAAGGATCTTTAAACCCTAGTTGACTGGCCATGGAAGTGGATGGCCAATTGCAATGGGTTAGAGAATTGGGCTAGCGCTAGAGCCCAAATGTAACAAAAAGCAATCACGAAACAAAGAAAAAAAAAAAACTGCAGATTTTCCAAAATATTTCAGTTGATTTTTTTTTTGTTTTTTTTCTCTTTTTGAGGCTCGAAATAGATTCTTTTTTATCTTAGCTCTTATTGTGATGGTTATCTTCCTAAATCAAAGAGGGAGAAAGATGAGCAAGAGAAGTCTTAAGTTGGAATTGTTAATCTTCTTTTTTCTATTGAATTTAAATTATTTATAAATCTATATCAAGTTTGTTAAAATTAAAGTTAATGTTTAATATATTTTAAGTTAAACACGTTAAATTTTACATATCCATCTTATTTTTCAAGATACATACTTTGCCAACTAATTTGCCATTAGTGAAAATTTTGAACTAGTTGTATTGTACTGGATATCAAGTTCCATCTTCATAAAAAATTGAGATGTTTAGTGTAGGTACTTTAAAAAGTTCTTAAATTATTTAAGAAAATTTAAATAAGTAATTATTTTCCTATTATATTTTCAAGCAAACTTGTACTTTCAATTTAAATAAAATAAGCCCTTATAATTAAGGGTTGAGTAATTGTCATTTGTTAAAGGATAAAATATTCTCACCTTCCTAACTTTTAGCTATAATTTCACGTGGATGTAGGGTGAGGGTTGATTATGCATCAAATACAAATCAATGGAGCGAAAATAGATTTAAAATTAAATTACACCTCACTTTTCTAGGATCTCTTTCATACTAAACTGAGTACGAAATTAAATTACAAATAAAATATATATGTATGATCATATCAAATTTATCATAATAACAAAAGTTGATGAATCCTTTGTTAAACCACCGATTTGTCTTCAAAAAGCTCAACCATTCTAGCTTGATTGTTGCAAACCAAAGCTGTCCAAAGAATCCTTGTGTAACCTCTAATGGTGATCCACACTAATGAATTAGAAAAGTTTTTTTCAAGGATTGGGAGTGCTATGCCTTAACAATGTGCTAGCAAAGATGAGTTTCATAAACTCATAATCCACACAAAATTATGGGGCTGAAAAGGAATCAAGTGAATGAAAACTGTTTTTTCTTCATACAAGGAATGACAAGAAAAGAGTTTCTAATCTGCCGTTCCTTTCTTTTTCAGCCTTTTCTCTCTCTTTTTTTTTGTTTGGAGGCTATAGCAAGGTATTTATACCTTGGATTAATTTTAAACCTTAATTACAAAACTATTTTATAATTACAAATTAATCCAATAATTTGAATAAAAAATTTAATTAAGTCCTTAAGAAGCTCAATTAATTTAATTGTTTAATTTAATCAATTAGATCAAATAACTTAATTAAACAATTTAATTAATTAGGCCCAATAACTTAATTGTTTAATTTAATCAATTAGGTCCAATAGCTTAATTAAATAGTTCAATCAATTAGGCCCAATAACTTGATGAAACAAATTTAATCAATTAGGCCCAATAACTTA